TGGTTAAAACACCTTTTCCATCTAGCTTAATCCTTTTCTCATCTGGAATCTTTGCATAATAGATGCAACCAATGACTTTTAGATGTGAAACAAATGATTTGTAGCCAAATCAAGCCTCAAATGGTGTCTTACTTTCAAATGACCTTGTATTAGTCAAGTTTAACAAGTAATTAGCTGTATTTATAGCTTTCACCCAAAAAGATTTTTACAGGTTCTTTTGAAATAGTAAGCACTTTGCCATCTCCATCAATGTTCTGTTTTTCCTCTCATACTCTCCATTTTGCTTTAAACTGTAAGTAACAGTGAGCTAATGAGCTATACCAAGCTTTGACAGATAACTTTCAAACTCTCTTGTAGTGTATTTCTTTCCATTATCACTCCTAATTGTCTAGATGGTTAAGTTTGCTTGGTTTTCAACCAAGTATTTGAACTTAACAAGGCTTTTCAAAGCTTCTCTCTTGACTTTAAAATTGTGAATCCAGTAATACTTGGTCAAATCATCAATGAAAATGAGATAATACCTACTACCACCAAGTAAAAGAGTTTTTATTGGACCTTCAAAATTAGCATGAATGAGCTGTAGTTTCTTTGTAACTTTCCACTTCCTTTCTTTTAGGAATGGAAGCCTATTTTGCTTACCATACTAACATGTATCTATTAGGATTTGACCTCATACTCAAATGTGAAATTAATCAATAAATTAAAAGTATAGAACAATAAAAAACAGATATACATTTAATTAAAGAAACAATCGAATCCCTCGATATCAATTGTTTGTGTTTTTAATGCAATTTTCATATTAGTTCATAAGTTCAAGTATTACGTACCTTACTTTAAATATCATAATCAAGAGCCAACTAAATCCAAAAAGCTTATGATCAAGCAAGAAACTCGAAAAAAGAATAAAATAATATAAAATCCTACAGCCAAAATATTTGCTTTTTCATTTCAAGATTTGTCAAATCTTCAGCTACCCAAGTGTTTGGCCTTTAATAGTAATCCATACAGTGACCAAATAAAACTTTCTCAAAGGTAGGATTTTTTACTTGTGTTAGTAAGTTTTGTTTTTAGAAAGAACCAGAAGACCAAAAATCTTAGTCGAACCTTATTTTTGTCAAACAAATAAAACTTATTTTTCCTTTTCTTTTTTTTTTTATAAATCAGCTAAGAAATGGCTTAATGCTTAGAGTTTTAGTTGGTTAACATAACATATTTATATAACCAAACTAAGTTGTAACCCTAGGTATAACATTTGTATTTTTATTCAATTAAGTCTTTTTGAACTTAATTTTTTCATTTTATTTTGGTCTATTTCAATTAAGTCCAACTTAATTAATTTTTCTTATTTAGTCTCAATCATGTCACTTAATTTGTGTGACACATTAGGCTTCTAACATATTGGCAATAGATATAAATCATAATCAAAAATCCATTTAATAATTGATTTATATTTATAGATCGTGAGTGATAACTAGCAACACATCATGACAACCTACATGTTAAAGAGTCAATTAAAGAACTTAACAAAGCCCTTCAATGATAAACCTCTCAGTGCAATACGGTCCTTTCATCAAATATCCTAGATATGTCATAAAGCATAACTCAATGTCTACTTATGACATTCCATATTAGTTCTCATAATTCATGAGTAACCTTATGAATTTAGGAAACTAACTTCCCTCAAATTCATCATGCTATGACCAAAGACTTTATACAAGTTAATATAGAATTGAAAACAAATGAGATACATCCCTTCATATCACTTAGGGCGATGAATCCTCTCTTGACAACTCATCCACCCTCGCATGCCTACGACGCACCCAAAAACACCCTGTTTAGGTATCTGGTCACCTCCAAACCCATAAAGGTGAAATCAAAGTATGTCATTCCTCATACAAGATGACTTAGTGTCTAAAGTCTAAGGACTAGTTGTACGACTATCACATGAGAATATATTCTATATACATTTGAGCAAAATACCAAATAGAGTTCTCATAGTGGATCATGTTCAATGAATTTGTTTTCTATCAAGAACCCACATGTCATCCTCAAATATCCCATATACTATAATCTATAAGATCGATTACTTACTTTCCAAGTAAACAGACTTAGTATGTACCAGTATTTGAGTATTGTCAATACCTTATCTTGACAATACAATGAGCAAAAACTATTTTAGGAACATGACTTTGATGCATAGAAGTTTCATAATTGTAACAACTTAACAATTCTCTTACAAGGCCTTTATGTTCCATGCGCTTCATCCAATTAGAATTTAATAATTCCTTATTATTGTACTAACATGAAGGAAAACCTTTATCATATATAGTTGTGCGATTAAATATGCATTAAATGACACAATATATTCCTTGATCAATCCAATGGGCTCAAGGGCATATGCTAACAATATCACAAAATGATTTAGGCTTTGCAAGTTTAGGTAAGCCTTCAACAAGTTCTATGATGCCATTTTCTGCAAAGAATTGTAGTTAACAAGCCTCAATCTCTTATGCAATAATTTAGAATCAACTACAACATTGAAATAAACCATGCGATTAGTAACTTCCAATCAATTGGATAGCATTGTTCTTCATTTCAACTATCAATACCTCATTTTCCTTTGGATCAAATATTGTGCAATATTTGTCCTTGAACAAAAAGACATAATGACTCTCGATGGGCTATCCAACACTGGGCAAGTTCTATTTAGCTTTTACTACAAAATAAACATTGGAAATGAACTTATTCCTTAATTGAGTTTCCACTAAAACGATCCCAATCCCCAAAATCTTTAAGAAAACTCCATTTTCAATCTCAACCCTTGCCCTAAAGCTTCTATCAAGTGTGGTAAACTAACTCTCATCACTAGTCATGTGGTTCGAACAACAACTATCAATCAACCACACACTTTTCGTAGTTGATTCAACACCTTCTTTGACCATAAATAGCAGCTCATCAAAGGCCTTAATATGCTTAGCTACAACAGCCTTCTCATCAATGTTTGATCCTTTGTTCTTACGCACTCTTTTCACATGTCCAAGCTAGTTATAGGATCTACATTTCACATTGGGCCTATATCAACAAAATTTAGCAAAATGAGTGGTCTTTTTACAATGGGGACAAGGTTGATACTTATGTTTCTACTTCCAATCCTTACCATCACCAAGTTTCTTATCTCTTCCTTTTCTATCTGACTCATTTTTCTTAGAGTTGTTGCTTCCAATTTTCATGTTCTTGGTTTTAGCAACCAAGGCACTGTCACCATAATCCTCTTACCTAAAGGCTCTTCTCTATTCCTAAGCTTCCAAAGCATTTATAAGGTCACTTAAAGTAAGCTTAGAGATATCTTTTGAATCCTCAAAGGGGGATATCTTGGTCTCGAACTTCTCCAGTAAACTAACCAAAACCTTATTTACTATCCTTTTCTTAGTCATTTCCTCCTCAAGCAACCTAAGCTAATTCATGAGCTTTATAATCTTTCTAGAAAAATCCTTAATGTTTTGATCATCTCTCATTCTAAGCATTTCAAATTGCCTATGCAAATTTAAAGCTTGCATATGCCTAGTCCTCTCATTACCCTAAAACTCATCTTTCAAAAGATCTCAAACTTCCTTTGGACCGTCACAATGAATGATTCTAGCAAAGACTACATCAGATACAGCAGAGTGCAAACAAGATAAGACCTTGTATTTTTTAGCAACATATTCACTGTGTTGTTTAATAGTCAAAGTGAGATTAGCATGCCTCATCACTAGAAGGTCACCTCCTACTTCCAATATCTCTCAAGGATCAAAAGCTCTTAGGTAAGCTTTCATTTTCACAACCTAGAAAGCATAGTTCTCCCCATTAAAGATTTGAGGCGCTGATGTACTAAACCTTGCAAAAGCCATGAATAAACAAGAGAAAAAATATTGCAAACAAGTAGTGAAGAACAAGAATAAAATCAGTCCCTTGAAACCCATTGATTTGCTGTGATCCCATGTTGGATTATAGAAGATTTTCTAGAAAATGATGAAGAACAGAAGAAGAATTAAAGGGCGAGTTGGGGAAGATGAGAGAGAAAATGAGGAAAAACAGAAAAGTAGTGCAGTGCACCGTTTTACTAAAGCAACAGCATTTAAATAGTCTGTTCACAGGAGAGAGAAGAACAAAAGGAAAACCAATGGAAATATAACGCCTGGCCATTCAATCGGTTACAAGAAAATAACACCGATTTCAGCACCAAGCATTCAAGCAGCCAATAACAAATAGACACATGTTGGTGGCCCGAATTTAACAACCAAAGAAAGAGAAAATGCTAACAACCAACAGTCAAAATTAAAACAGCCGCCGACAACATGCAAAATGCACCTTTTTGATTGGAAAAGGGCCAACAAGTTGTTTGTGATCGGAAAAGGTTAAACAAAGAAAGAAAAACGATACGACTAGCAGTTGTTCATGTTTGTCAGGAGGCAAACTCTTGTGCAAATCGCGTATCTAGGCAGTAATCATTTCGGAAACAGTTAGGTAGTCATCCCATTCCCACATCCCTGTCAAAATATTTGGTCGTCACCAGGCTGCATTTTTCATGTTTGTGGCCCTTAGATAGGCTAGTTCATCCACTGTTGATGAATTATCATGTTGTTGTCTTGGCCGGGGCAGATTTGAGTTTTAGTTTTTATATTTAGAACTTTGCTTTAGACCTGTCATGGGCCGAGTTATTTAACCAAATCCCTAAGCTTGCATTTTTCTTTGCGGGTTAAAAACTTGATTGGAGTTCAATTGTTCACATAATCATTTGGTTACGGCTACACTAAGTTCCCTAGTGTATTATATTTATTTTATTTCTATTTTTTATATATATTTATATACGTAAATCTCAAATTCAATTTAATTCTTTTTTTTTTTTTGGAGTGGTGGGGGTTCCATACTGCTGCCATGGGCTAACCACAATTTAAAGCTCAATGCTGGTTACAAGATTTGTGATAGAAAATAAAGTAAAAATTTGTATATATCCTTTTTGTCGTCATTGACTACATAATTAAAAGCACCAAAAAGACATGCTAAAATCAAGAGCAGGACAAAATTTTCTGCATCAACATCAAGCAGAGTTAATTTGTGCAAAGTCAAGGGATTTCTTGCCATCGTGCGCATTTCCAAAGAAGTTTTTCATGTAGTCTCCAAATACCAACTCTCTATACCGAGCCACCCCATCTTTTTCTACAAGTTGAGGAAGTGGTGCAATTTTTTCGCTTGGTTTTGGAGTTGTAAATATCGGTATTGACACTCTGGATTTGGTGCTTGTGGTGCGAACTCTATGCTCTGCACTTTTGTACTTTCCATTGCTTAAGATCTAAAGAAAAAAGGACATTGAAAAGTTAGTAACTTTTTTATTAAAATAAAATATTAAGAATCTTAGTCAGAGGATTTGACACGAACCTGTAAGGTATCACCCACATTGATGACCAAAGCACCAGGGAGAGGTGGTATTTCTACCCACTCTCCTTTCTTTCCAATATCATCAGTCTCCTCAGTAACTTTCACATATAAACCACCAATTCCATCTTGAAGCAAAATTGTGAGAGTGCCCATATCAGAATGGCGTCCAACACCAACTGTGAGGTCTGGATTAGGACATGTCGGATAAAAATTCATATTAACCATTTTCATGCCCACGAGTGCATCAAGTTTTGAGTCATCCAGTTGCACTCCAAGATTTCCCATCAAAACCTCAACCAATTTCCTCACCATGTTCATTGATGTCTTCAAGTACTCAAGTGCAACTTCTCTGAAAGAGAGAAAATTGTCAAAGAATCAAAACTGATGGTAATATACATGTTAATGGATATTTCAGATTGGTTTAGAATTGGAAAGACAGGGGTAATAGAAAATGGAAAAAAAAAAAAACGATATGTAGCACATCTCACCTGCACTCTTCAGGCCATTGTTCAAGAGCTTCGGCATCATTGGTATATACCAGGCTAATATAATCCTTCCACTCCAATGCTTTCTCTTTCTCTGGGACAAAGCTCGTCCCATACTTCACTAACGGGCTCGGACTCACTTCTTTGCGATAAACAGCCTTCTTTGCCGATGGCTGACCAAAGAAGTTATGCGCCGCGTCCTTGAGCGACTCCAGCAAATCAACAGGCACGCCATGGTTCACAAGTTGGAAGAAGCCAAGAGTTTCAGCAGCTGTAACAATTTCCTTGACCACTTGGTCATGGTCAGGCCCATTTAGCCTTGAGAGATCAATCGGTTCCTGCTCATGTCTGGTTGCCTTTTGCTTGTCTATTCTCTCCTTCGGTGGTTGAATGTAAGGTTCTGGCACCTTTGATAAGCCTAGATCGACCATTCCTTTAACTCCGTTTCCTTCTCGGACGGCAAAGTTAAAAAGGCAGCTACCGTCATCTAAACTTGGGGCCATTTTTGTGTAAGCTAAAAAGTGGCACAACTTTCTTCCGTATGTGAATTGAGTCGATGAAAATTGATAGTGCAAGAACCAAAGGGGAAAGTGGCTATATATACTAGATAGACGCTTGAAAACTTCGCAATGTTCAAACTTCAATAGATGGCGGAAGTGGAAAACTACCGGCTTCGTTTGACTGCTTCCGCCATTGAAGGAGATGTAAAGAACATGAAATATTTGAGTAGCAAACGGGGAAATGTTTGGCTTTTGACTTGAATGTCAATGTCTTGTCATTTATGGCTTGTTCCGGTCCAAGAGGAGCCAGGGCCATGGCTATCTTTACTTTACCATAACTACCTCTTAATTAACCATTTTAATTTTTTTATCACCGAAATATTTAATTTATTAATTAATATATTATTTTTTAAAAAAAAGTAAAATTCAAACTCTCTTCTTTTAATGGAAAAAAACCCACTTTAATTTTTCCTTTTTGACTTTTTCTGGACCCCTCTTGTTTAATGCTTTTCACCATTAAAAAGTAAATTACCAGAGCATTTGAGTACCGAATTATAATGAATTATCGCTTTAGTTATTGAAGAAATATAATTTCATAAATAAATATTTTGATTTTTACTTCATTGAACAAATTGCACTCTGTTAATAAAATGAGCGAAGTCACAGAAAAAACAGTTAATAAAAGTTAAAAACGTTTTATTAATTTTTTTTTTAGTTTTCAATGCAAAGCATTTAATCAAAGTAAAATTTGAGTATCAGTTTTTAAACTTTAAATACCAAACCCAATGTTTAATCATAATTAGGGTGTCAAATATATCCTTTAGCAATACCCAAAAAAGTATATCTTTCCTAATCTAAAGGGGGCGAAATTGGTAACTTTAGGTTCGTTGGTGCCGACCTCCTCTTTCTCACCTTAATATCCCCTCATATGATCTTCAGACACTAGAGGAAGAGGGTAGACTTAAAGTGGCTCAAGTGGTCATGAATGTGATTAGTCAGCCCAACAAAATTAATTAAATGCCTCCATAATTGAGTGAAATGAAGAAAATACCAGACTCCTATCAAAGTGGGCCTGATTTTCTCCATTCTTTTTCTCTATATACATATTGATTGATGACTAAATGCAAACGTAACTGCACATGGTGTCAAACTTCAAATTTCATATTAAAATTCAAACTTTGGAATTTAATTTTAATATGAACATGGACGATTTCTGAAAAAAAAAAAGTTACTTATGATTATGCTCAGCCCATGGACATGAATTTGCCCTCTAAAGGTAAGTGAAAATGTTAGTTAGACAAGTTCACATGTGGTAGAAGATTTATAAAATTCTTTCAAAAAAAAAAAGAGAAAGGCAATGAAATAATACTTTTTTACATGAAAGAAACGTGATTATGCCAACAAACGTCATGTAAACATCATTAACAACTTGGTAAAATGAAATACGTATGGCCCACTAAAGGCTAGAAAATGAGCAAAACTTAGCACTCGGTCACAAACAAAAGAAAAGGTTTGCATATTCGTGGAAGAAGCAGGGCATCTAATTTTGGAAGATTTTCCCCATTTTTTTCCTTTGCAAACAGGAAAATTAAGCACCAAGAAAAAAAGGGATAAAGCTCCTCTTGTTGGAATTGCTTTGTTGCCTGATCAAGTCTAATTGGGTCCAATCAAGGAAATTGGTAAAATGACGCATTTTGAGGAAGAGGAAAGAAAGAGGACGAAGAAATATTAGTATTTTCCAATTTGTTGAGCTAAGGGGGCAGAATCAGGGTTTTTTACACTCTAACCCCAGCGACAAGCCCTGGAAAAAAATTGGTACAAATGCAAATATGAAGGTAAAGAGACTCAAAGACTAATTTCTAGACTTAAACCACCCAAAGAGTCAAACGCTTTACGCTTTTTCAATTCTCAGAATCTCTCATTGTCAATTGTTCCAACTTGAAAATCTCGTTTTTCCCATTACCACTGACAATTAGAAAAGTTGCCTTTTCAAATGTTTAAATGTGAAAACATTACCACTAACAACAACTATATCAATAGAGTTTGAGGAATTGGTTCGGAAGATAGTGGAAGTGCTAGACGAAGGGTGTTAAGACAAAGGGAACGCAATCTTTGTTCACCTGTCTGCTATTATTATTATTATTGTTATTCTTTTACTTGCTTACGCAAACATTACATGAGGCTAAGCAACGTATAACCCAACCAGGACGTGAGGACAATTGAAGGGGTAAGTCGGGTTGCTTTGGATCATCTCAATTTCGAGTCATCAGCACATGTTTGAAATTTCAAATTAAAGAGAGAATTTTTGTCCTGTCATGCTTGACTTTTCCAGAAGAGAGAATTTCTGTCTGGGGTTACATTCACAATGGGAATAACATTAATAATGGGAATAGTAAAATAAATTCATTTGCACGAAAAGACAAGACATTTTATGTGCCAAAAACGTTCCCTCAACCGTAACGATTAAGTCTCGGAGACTTTAAGTTTCGTGTTTACTATGCGGTTTTTTTATATAATATTTAAAAAATTTTAAATTAATCAAAATTATACTATTTCATTTAATCAAATTTTTATATTTTTATTTTAAATCAAATAAGTCATTATAACTATTAATGAATTAACTGTTATTAATCAAAGCATCATTTGTCATTTTATATTATGCACGCTGACATGACATACCGACATGTTATAATAGATGATGATATAGATTGTTGATTTGACATAATAACATCATTATGTGATATTTTTTACTTTTTCACATTAACACCACATGATATAACATGACAAATAATATTTTAATTAATAACAATTAATTAATTGTTAATTATAAAAGTTTATTTAACTTAAAATAAATTCTTCAATTCTGAATCTTCTTATCTTACCTTCAGACATCAATGCGTTTGCATTAACCTAGGAAGATTGGCCAAGGGAGCAGGCAAAGGCAACTTTATAAAGCTCAAATAATAAGATGAATGCATCAATTATTGGCATATGAGTATGGATGTGAATGGGTGTCTTATTATAGGGTACCCGCGGGTACTTGACCCAGTTATACCAGATAAGGTACCCTATAAACGGCTTCGAGATGAGTTTGGGTAGTGATTTCACTACCCGAATCAGATTCGAGTAAGGTTCTAGTACCATTCCTTGGGTACCCGTTACCCAATTATGTAATATTCGGGTTCCACGAGTACCCGTCCCAAATCCAACTATAATACGCGTGTGTGTATATATATATATATATTATTGTTATTTAAATAATTGAATAAAATGTGTCCACTTTTGTTGCTGATTTGATTTGAACTCAAGTAAGGAAGGAAAGCAATCAAAATCTTTACCCTTGACAAACAATTTCTATTACAAAGCGTTGACAAATATATTAAAAATAAGGTTAGTCAAATTATTAATGTCATAACATTAATATATTTAGATTAAAAAATATTAGATTATTAATTATGTTTAAATAATATGAATATCATATCATATTACAAAGGAATATAATTACTATTATATATATTTTAATATAAATGTATTTACTTTTTATTTTGTGTTAACATTACAAAAATTATAACTTGTAAAATTATTAAGAATAATATATATACATATATATACATTTTATAATATATAACTTATAATGTCTTTTAACGCATACACTTTATATTATATATTATGTTCATTTATAAAGAATATAATAACTATTATATAAATTAATTACTAAATAATATATATACCTTTGTTTATATAAATTTATAATATATAAACTTAATTATCTAAAAAGAAGTTGTGAGATTAGAATAGTTTTGAAACTTAGCTATTTTTTTTAATTTCATGTAATTAAGGATAAATTCATATAATTAATTAAATTAATTAATGAAATTATGATTATTAATTAAATTGTAATGTCTTTTAAGATTTTTTTTATTATTTAAATTTAAATTGTATTATTTGTGTTTTTATTGATTTAATTAGTTAATTTTATGAAATACGTAAAGAAATATTAATATATGTATACAGGTTCGGGTTTGGGTAATTGGATACCCATAAAGAAGATTTTAATAAAATTTTATCTAATAGAGTTTTTAAATGGGTTAGGGTAATTATAGAATAGTGAAAATGTAATAGAGTTAGGGTTAGGGTAGTAATTTTTAAAATTATTAAGATAGTTAATAAGGCTCAGGGAGTTGATTTTTTATAGGGTTAGGGTTTAGGTACCCTACCCATTGACAATCTTACATATGAGTCTTGAATTGTCTTCATGCAAGCTCAAATAATAAGATGATTGCTTCAATTATTGGCATATGAGTCTTAAATAGTCTTCATGCAAAACATATAATCCTACACATGTAGTGTTCCTAATTATATAAGGTTCAGGTATTTTATAATCGAATTTGGGATAGATTTGAATAGTAATTTTGCTACCCAAACCCATTTTATTGATGTTTGGATTTGAACTTGTGTAAGGATGAGAAATACTCCATATTTTAACCAACTTTGCAAATAATTTATTTTGATGAAAGTTGATAGATATATTAATGATATGTGATTGTTAGTCAAATTATTAATGTGATGTCATTAATATATTTAAATTAAAAAACTATTAGATTATAATTAGTTATTTTGTTAATTAGTTGTGTTTAAATAATATGAATATCATATCATATTATAAAGAATATAATTACTATTATATATATATATATACTTTTAATATAAACATATTTGTTTTCTATTTTATATTTTACAAAAATTATAACTTATAAAATTATTAGTTATAATATATATATATTATATTTATACACCTTTGTTTATTAAAACTTATAATAATATATATACCTAAAAAGAGGCTATGAGATTAAGATAATTTGGTGACTTATTATTTTTTTAATTTCATGTAATTAAAGACAAACCTATAGAGTTAATTAAATTATTTCATTAAAGTATGATCGTTGATCAATTTGTAATGGCTTTTAATTTGTATATATTTTATATATTATGTTAATTTATAAGGAATATAATTACTATTATATATATACTTTTAATATAAATATATTTACTTTCTATTTTATATTAACATTATAAAAATTATAACTTATAAAATTATTAGTGAATTATATGAAATATGAATGTGAATTGTGAAATATAATTTAATTATATATAGATATGAGTTTGAATTTGGGTTTGAATAATTGGATACTCATGAAAAGTTAAACATAATCGAATTTTTAAACAAATTTGGGTAATTATCGGGTAGTAAAAATGTATTAAGATTCAAGTTAAAATAGTAAATTTAAAAATATCTGGGTAGTTATAAGATTTGGGTACTCTAAAACTTAATAGGATTCGGATTCGAAAACTTCAAAATTAACAAGTAGGGGTGAGCAAAACCAATCTAGACCAATTAATCACTCAAACCAAATGCGATTTAGATAAAACAGTTTGATCTAATTGGTCCAAAATGTTTAGTCCAATTGGGTTTTTGATCGATTCTTAGTTTTAAAATTTTTGGGCCAATCCACCCAAAAAATCAAACTAATTTTTTTATATTTATATATATATTAATATATAAAATATTGTTTATATATTAAGAAGAATTGAAAGCAAACTTAATTAATAAAATACTTAAAATATATTAAGATATTATACGTACATATACAAATTATAATCATAGTAATTTAATATTAGTTATATATATTTATTTGTTTATAAATCTATATTAATATGAAATTACAAGTTATATATTTTAAATGATATAAGTTATATGTTAATATTATAATATATGATAATAAATATCCTACATATTAATATATTATAATTATCACACCTTAGTAATATTACGTAATATAAAATGTTATGAATATATATCTAATTGTATAAATATATTGTATATACATATATTTAATTTATACATAAGCATTACTATAATTTATAATAAACTTTATTTATATGAATACACTTAATAACTTTATTAGTTATCATGTTAGATTTTATAACATATTGTTTATAATTAGTTATTATTTATACAAACTTTGATATAAAACATTTTATCATATAATTTGTATCATTAATTATATATATATAACAAAGTAATATTATATATATATACATACATTTAATTTATACATAAGTATTACTATAACTTATAATAAATTTTATTTATATGACTACACTTAATAAGTTTATTAGCCATCACCTTAGATTTTATAACATATTCTTTATAATTAGTTATCATTTATACAAACTTTGATATAAAACATTTTAACATATAAGTTATATTATTAATTTCATATATACATATAATTACGGATGAAATTTATAAATTTTAATATTATAATTTGTAAAAAAAAAAAGCTAAAATTTTGATCTATTGGTCCAAAATCGAATCAACCAAATCAATTCTATATTTGATTGGTTTGATCTTCTTTTATATTTGATCGGTTTTTTAAAATTGATTGATTCATTTAGTTTTTAGGTATAGTGAGCCAAACCACTGAATTCACTCATTAGCTTACTCTTATTAGCAAATATCTTATCTGTTGACATCCCTACTTCTATCATCAAGCAGACAAACGGTATTGGTCCACCGCATAGGAATCAAATATCTAAGGGAAGCAAAGAAGGCAAAGTTCGTGGACTAATGGGTTTGAGCTCAAAAAGTAGTTTATATATGACAGAGCGCTTCAGCATTTGTCATTTGTCATTTGTCATTAAGATCTAATCATCTGCATAACGAGACAGAAGAAACAGAGACGGGGTGACATGTCCCTGGCTCCCTGCCATTTTTAGACCAAATGGATCAAATATTTTTAGAAAACCAATCAAAATCAACCAGATATAAATGACGATCAAACTGACCAAATATAGAATTGGTTTAGTTGGTTTAGTTTTGGACCAATTGATCAAAATTTTATCACTTTTTTAACAAATTATAATATTAAACTTTATAAAAAAGAAACTTATATTTCTTTTTCATACGAGAGTACCGTAACACATTGAATCTCAAATAAAAAAGAAAGTGTCTAATACTCCCATGCTATGCCTCCATCTAGCACTCAGTCTCATCTGTGGAATCCAACTTCTTGCATCAACGGATCAATATCATTGAATATGATCCATTTGTTCCAAGACCAGTGATTGCTGCTATTAACTCAAGAGAAAGCAACCTTAGAGTTGTAGTCAATAACTAGCCGTTCAGTCCCTGCAAAGGATGATGATGCAAATAATTTCAAGGCATATCTAATTGCCATTGTTTTCGACCAGTTGGAATCATGAATTTCAAGTGGACCAAAGAAAATCCTAATAATGTAACCGATGTTTCTAAGTACACTACCATAATTTGTGAGGCCAAGTTTACCCTTAACAGAGCCATCCACATTAAATTTATATTTTCTTTCCATACGAGAGTACTGTAACACATTGAGTCTCAAATAAAAAGAGAAGTGTCTAATATTCCTATGCTATGCCTCCATCTACCACTCAATCTCATCTATGGAATCCAACTTCTTGCAAGCCCGAATCCACAAAATCAAGCCCATCCTAACGAGAAAGAAAATTTTCATACCATCCCAAACTTTATCATGAAAGATAGATTAGATCCATTCCTTATATATGATATTGGAAATAGATTTCGAACACACTAAAGGATCTTCTTCGGCTCGTTATAGCTTTTCAAAACTAAGTCTAAAATTGAAAATTTTCAAAACTTAAATAATTAAATTGATAATTTTCTTAAACTAATCCAAAAATGGTATAATTAAGTGAATTGAAGGTAGAGCATATATAGGCTTCCAATCTTTTTAAATAATCATCCTCGCGTCTAATCTAGAATAAAATTCTCATGACATCACAAAATTATTTAAAATATCAACCATTAATTTTATGTACATTATTATTTAATCATGGACGAGGATCTTAATCCGTAATTAGACCTTATCCACATATATATAAGCGATGCAATGATGAACAAAAGTATTGAAATGTAATAAATAAAATAAAATAAATCAAATCCGGGACTTTTTCACGTGTAAGTGTCTGAAACTTCAATGGTATCAGTCTGTCATTGTTGGCGTCACACACAACAAATGATACAACATACATGGGGTTGAGGTAAGCAGTCCGATTACATAAAGGGCACGAAAGAAAGCACCTCTATAGGCAAAGCTGTTCTTAATTATTACAATCAGAATTTGACATTGAAATTAAACAGTAATATTACCCGTTGAAGACCGTCGTCTCAAAACTCTTGCTGGGCTAGTTCACAGGTGCATCATACTTGCTGAAAAGCCTGTAGGAAGAGATTAGTGACAGCGCCGCATAGCAAGCTACTACAACGAATGTGATGATTATTGATGTTGTGGCTTTATGACAGAAACTGGCAAACGTCCCACAAGCTGCACTCCAGGTGACAGCTGCATCTCCTTTGTTTGTCAGGTAGAGCACCTCCGTTGACACAGCACCCGCAGCCAAAATTATGTATGTTAGAATCTGAATCAAAAACAATATATATATTAAATTTGTGATAATGATGCTCTACCCATATCAATAACTGACCAAATATATGGTGTAGAATAGTTTACTTGACCTGATCTAGGAGGAAGAGGGTCCAAGCTCGAGGCATTGTGGAGGGACGAGGCATGGCCGCAATGATAGCAGAAAGAAAGGAATAGCCTGCACATATGCCATTTGCATGCACCAGATACCTGAAAGGTGTAAACCAGTTAATGATTGATGCCAAAATCAAGGAATTATGTTACAGTGCCGGTTTTCTGTTTTGTTTTTGTATGCTGGAAAACCCCAACTGTAGCTTTTGTTTTTATTTAAGCTGTTTTATTCTTTAAGGTGAAACTGGAATTGGAAACTCAAAGTTACTCAATTAAAACAAAAAAAATGAAATAAATTACTACAGAAAATTAGTTATAAAGCATTGTTGGTGTATAAATTTCAATTTTATTTAACTTTTAACATCCTATAATTAAGTTTCCATAAGTTCTTGTCTGAAGAATTTTAACACAGTTGTCAGAGAGGTAAAATCAATATTTTCGTCCATCATGCATTCCTATTCGCCAATTATAAGTTTGGCTTAGTGGTTTAATCCTAAGACTTGAATTTTCTCTTTCTACTTCTGTTTTATTGTATAAAAAATTAAAAAAACAAAACGCAAATTTGATTGTTGTTGGGGTGCACTCAAGGCTTTTAGTTAGCTTTTTATGAGTGGTAAATGTTTCACCGGTTACTTGATAAAATTCTGGAACTTATATATCCTTAGAGAGGGAACATGCGTGGTGAAACCTAATTTGATTTCATTAGTTTCTTAGATTCAGATCATATCTGATATAAAAGAAAAATTGATCAACTAGTGAATAAGGAAGTGTAGGAATGGAACACCTGAAAGCTCCAAGATCTGAGTAGGAAACAGAACCAAACTCATTGGACTGAGAATTCTTGAGCATGACAACAAGTGCAGCAACACATAAAGCCATCGGGACCAAACGCAGCATGGTCTCGGCAGTTCGCATGCCGGTATCTAGCTCTTCATTTTCATATCTCGACGACCCCATCAAAGCCATTGGAGACCTAGAAGCAGCAGCTCCACCACTGACACCATTACCCTTTTCAGTACTCTTCTCCATATCCACCTTGCTTGATTCTTTCTTCTCCTAATTTTTCTTCTTCTTCAATTCTTTCTTAGCTGTGGGAATTATGTATACGGTAGTGCTTTAAAACTTATTAATGGGTTTAGGTAAGGTAGCTGGTGAAATCATTGAATGCCCATTCAAGGCAAATGGCCACACTTTCCCAAGTGCATCGGATAGCCACCTTCTCAGTCACATGGTTAGTGTTATTATCAATTCGGCTTATGCTTATCTCTCGTAGCCTCACCCAAAAATGGTAATTAATGCATAATTTCGTTTACCTTTCCCGTAAGTGTCGATTATCATGTATCAAATCAACCATCAATTCCAAAGTCTTCTTAATTTCTTCAGGTCTTATCAAATAATGAATTGCTCATATCTATCTTATTTCAAACAAGCATTGAGCCATTGACCCATCCGAATGATAGAAACCTTGTTGTAATTTTGGTAGTGCTCTCATAGTGGAGCCTACTCAACCATCAAACATAAATGTGAATATAAATCATACATTAGGATATAGACAACTACTAATTAAGATTAATCCTCTATAGTTAATGATACCTTCATTTTAATTGTTCTTAATAAAACAATAACGATTTGAAATTGTCAAATTCTAATTTTACAATACCCTAATAAGATTTTACGAAATAGAGATAATAAATTTTAATGTGTAGTGATAAAACTAATGCCATCAATTTCTTTTAGAACTTCAAGAACAATTTAATTACCTTTAAAGTCAAAATGCGCATATTGTTTTAGTGTAAAACCCTATGTTATTAGGTTAAAATTTCACTACTAAATTATTGACCAAATTCATCACCAAAATCTAATTCATACTTTCGAAGTTAACTATTTAAAAATAATTAATTTCTTAGTATTATCATTGAGCACATTAATTTTATTACATCTATCATACTAATCAATAATATCACAAATTAAGAAATATAAAAAAAATAAATGAAGTAAACACATTGAATTATTGTTGAATACTTAAATTGGGATGTGAGTCAAGAATAAAAGTTTTATGTCCTCCCTCATTGTCTCTTTTCTTGCCTCATACATACATTTCTGTCATGTGTAGAAGTTAAAAAAAAAACTATTTTTTTTTACTAAATATAGCCTAGTTAATTGATTGTTAATGGTCTAAATGTTGCCACTAAATCTTATCATTAAAAACCCATTTCCAAAAAAAAAAAAGAATAAAAGTTTTCTAGGGACGAGAGACTAAGATGGGAAAGGAAGGACCAATGGTTGAATGTTAGAAGAGTCGTGAAAAGGACAACTAATGGTTGTGTTTAATGTTTGAAAGAAAGGGGTTGTGAGTCAAGCCTGTCTCTATGGGTAGGTTTGAAATGTCATGAGATAATATAAATGTGAAGGGGGTCAGAAAATGAAGATAAAACACAGCATGGATGGATGGAATGAGAGGGGAAACATCACTAGAATTTAATAGTTTAAAATCATTAATAAAAAGAAAACATAAAGTTTATGTTACATATCTATAAGTTACATTTAATTTTTGAGTTCACTTCAATCCTAAATTGACTCTATTAACCATCCTATTTGAGAATATAATAATCGAAATGAATCGAATTAAGCATTGTATCAACTCCACTTCACTCCATTACAACCTTACTTTTATTGATAAGTATCAGTAGGTTAAGACTATTATAGTAGTTGCTCGAAATTAAATTTGCCCTAGTACTGCAGTTGGGTATTGTTTCGTCCCATAGAACTTAAATGCTATATTATCCAGAAAATAATGTAAGGACGCTGTCTTATGGCACTGGCACTGCTATCTATGGGGAGCGTCTGGGGCCTGGCCGAGGTCTTGAAGGGTTAGCCTGGCTTATAAGCTCTAACTTTACTATTAAAATAATAATAGGTATTTTATATTATTATTTTATTTTTTGTATATTTTAAATTAAATTTAAATAGAGAATATATTTGATGCGTTGTCACTTGTCATTAATTTAATACTATGCAAATGGCTCTTTATTAATAAATCCGCTAGGCACCATCAAATGTAAACTCCAAATATAAATCCTACTTTAATAATAGAGTAATGAGCTGGGTTTAAGATTTTAATCCAAGGTCAGCTGATATAGGCAAAATTGTAGGCCTTAAAGGCAGCCCGTCCCAGGACCATGGACAGTATTACTGTTACTAGTGAGCCTAATCAATGAGTAATGTGCTCTTATATTGCTTTGATTCAGAGGTAAAACATCCATGCCAATAGACACTTTATAGCCCATGGATTGTGTCAAGGTTCCAGTATCAATGGTGATTTGGTATTTGTTTATTTCTCTTCTTACGCCATTGAAAGCTGTTTGGAAGATTGCTCAAGATGAAGTCATCTGTCTAGATTGAACTCCATTTTTTGGTGTTCTTTGTACTTACAATTTGCCTGTAACTTGTAGTTGTTTGTTTCGAACTTAAAAGAGTCTGGTGTTGAAGTTGTAACTACTAGCAAGTCCCATCCCAGTTCAATTAAAATTGTCTGTACAAGCTACTTTGCGTCATTTCCTTTCTTTTGGTAAGGTTAATTGGCTTCACAAAGGTTTCTGGAAGTCAGCTTGGGTGGAGGAGATCCACATAGGAGAACAAACCACTGCTCTTGGCAATCATTTGATTGGTTTTAACATAATGAAGTCGATTCCAACAAGGTTTTCAGAGGTTAAGTGTTCATTTTTGGCCTAAACTGATTGAATTGAGATCTAGAAACTCCAGATTTACCATCCTCAACATCAATGCTAGAACAGAATACTAGTTTCTCCCAGCCAGTTGCATCTATGGATTTTAACCAATTCCCTGCTTAGACCACTCTGAGATGAGGACCATATTTCAATCTAGATTCCATGCCACAAGTAAATGAGAAGCAGAAATCAAAATGGTTTTTTAGATAATTAACTCTGCTCGGATCTGCCAATCAATCTCCTCTAGTAACCCAAAATCCAGCAAAAAAAAGCTATGAAAACATCCACTTCTAACTTGAAAGTACCTTTCAGCAAAATTTGATGACTGACCATTGAAGTAATTTCCATCACATTACTATTAGCTCTGTTTAAGCAAAGACTCAGGTTTCTACCAAATGCTTCTAAAGATGGATCAAAGTCCTGGTCCATATAATTTTTCCGGCTACCATATGTTCACCACCACCACACCAGATTCCTTATTAGCTACTCAATGGAGTATCAAACTCACCGTTCCAATTCCATGAGCATGAGAACGATTGGGAAAAGAAAGAATAATAATATAATCCGAAAGTAAGTAGAATTAGAAAAAAAAAATCTCAGTTCATCACACTCTTCCATATGACTTGTTACTCATGAGATGGGACTCTTTGCTCCATTGAAATGCTCATGTTGCAAAACCTCTTCTGTAAGAATTGATACTCATGTTACGTAACTCTTCACTTTATCCCATCATATTCGTGCCATAGTTCCTGAACACTTTAATTACATATGACTATCACACTTAATAGATCCTCAAACTTAAAAGTATAAAAGTTTTGCCTAATACATGACATATTCAGATACTTACCTGAGTCTGACATCTGAACCAAAATCCATGTAACATAGTACATAAAATGCTTTTTGTTCACTTGAGTATCTACTTTTACCTTGTCTTCCCTAATTAAATCTGAGAGTAGAATTTCCCTACTTCATTCTTAAATATAGTTCATTATGCATCCTTCTTTCAAGTAAGTTTGCACAGATTAACTCTTCATAATACCAAAATAACTCCATTTCCCAGAACCCAAAAGCACCCTCAGTTTCTCCCAAAAGAAACAGTTTACTATTAGGACAAATTTCATACAATTGACATTACATGATAACCAAAACAAAATGGTACCAAATCAAATTCTCAAAAAAAAAATAATAATTCAAACTTATACAGCAAGTTGAATATCACCCAAATCAAGCTGAGCAGCAATCTCCTCCAACTGCTTCTTAACACTCATATCAATCAATTTTGACCCTGAATTGCCATACCTGATAGTAAACCCAGCTACCAAACTTGGGTCAATCGCGGTTTTAATCCTAACATTCTTAGCACCAGTCAGCTTCTGCACCTGTTTAGCAATCTGTGCCAAATGCTGAGACTCCAAGGGCACCACTGAACTCACCACGGCCAATTCCGTATCCGTCAGGTTATTGTAAACCGACTCGAACTCTTTCACAATTTCCTTAATAATGTCAATCCTCTTGGCATCCACCAGGATGTTTAAAAAGTTTGCAGTGTGAGGCTGAAGCCCGGAAGACTTGACTATATCATCTAAAACCTGACGTTTTTTGATAGCGTCGATGGTGGGGTTGGCGAAGAAGTCGATGACTTGAGGGTCAGAGAAGATTTTCTCGACTTGTTCAATGTCGGAGCTGGTAGAGTCCAGGGTGTTGTTGGACTTAGCCACATCGGCTAAAGCTAAAGCGTAGCTGGAAGCGGCTGTGGCTGACATTTTGGTGCCACCCTGGAGAGGGCGGGTGGTGGAGAGTTTGAGGGAAGGGAAGGTGGCTGAGAAGGAGAGGTTGAGAGAAGGCAGGGCCCTGGGAAGTTGGGAGGAAGGGAGGAGCTTGGATTGAAGAGAGATTGAAGTTTGCTGAAGAGAAGCCATTGGTAGTCAGGAAGTTTGGGTTTGCTTTGCCTTGGCCCCCTGCAGGAATTTTGGGTGGGTGAGAAGAGCACAATTGGGGAAGGAAAGCAGACTGTAGGAATAATGGGGTTATCTTGGATAGGAGGAGGAGGGCCACTTATTGGATTGTGGGAGATAAAAGGGACTCCACAAAATTTAGCAGCCTATCAATTGATAAAAGGGGAAGAATGGAATGGGTTTAATTTCAAGAGGGACTTAGAAGTCAAAGCAAGACAAAACAAGAATTATGAAAAACTAATAATTGAGTTCAGTTTCCTTTTTTGTTACTTTTATTTTATTCTTTTTATTCTTTTTATTTGTTCCCCAACTTTTTGAATAAAGTGGGAGCTAATTTATGCAACAAAATTATTTTTGAGAATTTTTTGAATATTATATTTTTGCTTGCCCCCAAACCCACTATTGGGAGCCCAATCATTGGGCTTGCACCCCAAACCTGGGAATGGCACTGCCCTATATACCCTCAAACATATGGGCTTACCCAGCCCCTTTAAAGACTATTTTTGGGCTTAAAAGTGAACACATGAGAAGGAAATGTACCCAAAAAAAAAAAAGAGAAATCCCATGAGAATGAAGGGGAAAGTATTATTTAATAAGTGTTTATAAAGAATCCCATCTTGGAGTGGAATGTGAAATGAAGTGAGCTAAGTTAATACTAAGCCTATGCCAAGCTCCAACTTAGCCCGATTAGGAAACCTAAAGCTCCATCCCAATCGAATTCTATTTTTCATAATTTAGTTCAACAATAAAACCAAATTTTTAGATTTTCTAATAAAATCAAATTGCGGATTTACATTTTTTTTTGTTTTATTAAAATCAGATTAAAATAATTTGGTTTTGATAAAAAGCTAATATTATAGTTTATAATATAATATAATAAAAGTGGATTAGACACCAATTTTATATGTGAGCTTAAAAGTGTAAAATATGTGTAGAAAATCTTAAATCGTAGAACTAATTATTCACTGTATAATTTAGGCAAAAAAAATATTCACTATATAAATAAGGTTAGATCTCCTCTCTTGTCTATCCAAAAAATATTAATATTCTCATCCATTGGAAAGTTAATAGAAAAGGAAGAGAAAGATCTCACTGCATTGAATCTTACTAGTTAATCTGATCATATTTCATTTGTCAAATCATGTATTAAAAACCGAGTACGTTGTTGTATTCTAAATTTCTATTATAGTAGACAGTAAAATTTATTAATTAGTATTAGAGCAACCATGGTTAGGATTTAAAATCCTAAAGAATCATATATTGATTACATAAATCGTAACTACATGTTAAGGTATTATATGGATTTAGAATTTGTGTAATTACATTTTTAAAATTCACAATTCACTTATGAAAAGTGTAGTTAATTCTTGAGATGCTTAATTGATGATATATGATTGTTATGTCAAATTATATCAATGTAAGTGAACGAAAATCATGTTAGAGAAGTTGAGTTTTTCAAGGGTCGTGGGTTTTAATAGTTTTAAGTTAACAATAATTTGATTTTATGTAATTTTATTAAACTCATTGATCGTCAAATTAGGAGCTGTCATTTTTAGATATTATATCCGTGGGAATGGGTTTTCAGATTTGGCTTGAATTTATATAAAATAAACCAAAATTGATTCATTTCAATTTGGATTAACATAAGCCTTTTGTTGCCTTCCAAAAGAAAAAAACATAAGACTTTTGTTCCCCTTAATACAAGAGTTAATTCCATGTAATGCTTAAAACTCGATTTGACTTGTAGAGAGAGAAATAAAAACTTAAAATTTCATGTTTAAAATTTAAAAAACAATTCATGATTGGATTAATTTCGACATTTTATATGTTTTAGTTTGAATTTATCTCTATAAAATTAGTTGTTATATGTTATAGAGATAAAATATAAGTTTTTATTGCAAAAAATATAGAGTTTAAAGAATCAAACTTTCTAAAACTAAAACTAGTCAATAATGGGTATGAAACACGAAATCATTCTAGAGAATTAATTTTGATATATGTTGCTTTAAAGGATTTTAATGTATGGGTATCATAAGAAAGGTATTTCAGAGCTTTAATGGAGAAGTTCAAATTAGATTTGGCCATTCTCATTCACTCTCTTATTCTTACTGCTATTTTTTTTTTAATTTTTAATAAATGTTTGGTATGTATTAATTAATTAATCAATTAATTAATTATGTGCGCTTAATTGATCATTCTAGATGTTTTGGTAAGATATTTTTGAAATGCATGTGATTGAAACTTACATGTATACTTTTTAATTTAATGATAAAATAAATTCTTCCTAGATATTTGTGTATGTTACAAATTATTGAAATAAAATTATAGATTACAAATTAATAACTAAAACCTTACCTTAAAAGGTAGATCCTTCCTTTTTAAAGTAGGTATGCCTTTGAGACATAACCCCGAGCTCATTACTTTAATTGAAAAAAACATCATACCATGAATGATAATTTCGTCCTACTGGTGTGGAGGTTGGGGATTGCAGTATGCACAAGCCACATAAAGATTTGGCCCACAAGGTTGTGGCCGGCCATAGACAGCCAAGTTTAAACAAAGGAACTACATTTACTATATTTGAACTCTAAAGTTTACATCACAACCCCAAGCACAGGTAAGTGCTCTATCTTTAAATACGGGAAAAAGCATTCAACTCTCACAACACAAAACAAATACCAGGCACAAACTAAGTGCCCCTTTATTTCAAAACATAAAACGTGATGAAAAGAAACAGTCTCCTTTCACTCAATTCCGAAGACTTTCTTTAACTGCAAAACAAAACCATAGACCTTTTCTTGGTCAGGAAGAGACTTGGACACACTCTCCTTTTGCAGGCACCTCTTAGCCCATGCAATCAGCTTGGGACACTCTGCCTCAATGCTGAAGTTGCCACACTTCTCATAAGCATGGAACCAGCTATAGAATGGAACAAGGACAACATCTAAAAAACCAAAATTTTCTCCACCAAAGTATGGCTTGTCTCCAAGCTCTCCTTCCAACAGCTTAAGGCACTCAATGAATTCTTTCTTCCCTGCCTCCTGTTCTTCTCCCTTGGTTCTCCATATTTTCGTCCCATGGTCGTATATCTGCATTTCATTAAACAATAATTTAGGCTTAACAGGTTCCAATTATTCAGCAAAATGACAAAAACTCACAACAAAACAAACTCATAGAACCATAAAAGCAATGGCTAATCACAATTATTAACGGGATGATTGGACAATTGAAGACTAAAGCGTTTAAAGAGACAAACCGTGCTGACGATTTCAACAAGAAACAACAAGAATTGGAATAAACAAGTGGAAATATACATATATATATATATATATATATATTATCAGGTGAGAATTAGTCATGAAGCCTAGGTTCCTAAAGAGTCACTATCTCAACAGTTTTTGTCTCCCTCATCATGGAACCTACAATGAAATGATTCTAAACAACAAAATGTCAACAAAATAATAGTGTTAATTTTTTAAAGCAACAACTCAAGCTAGGCCTAGTGATTGTTACAATCCTCGAAAGGATGAAGATCTAAGATCGAAATCCTCACCCCCTTTTACCTCTCATATGTACCACAAACAAGCAAAAAATCAAAGTAATCATTTGCTCTTGTCTCCATTGTGAATTAGGGGTAAGCCAAACAAAATGCAATTTTTATGCGAACAGTAATCGTAGCCATCATCATTATCAACTAGACCTCGAGTAAGATTTGACAAGTTAAGTCAGCCTAATTTGAATATTAGCTTGAAAGTTGGTAATCCAATCACTATTATTTAGAAATATATCAAAATAATCGACTTATCTCTGCTTGAGCATAATTGAATTTAAACCAATGGCATCAAATTTTTTAAATGGACTAAAACTAAACAAAGTAGCTTGAAACTTGGCTTGATTTTACTTCTAATTATCAAAATTCCCCAAAAAGGGGAAAAAAATAACAAGTAAAACACAGAGAATATCAAATCAAATCAGCCCATAGATCAAAGTTATCATACTAGCACCAGCGGTAAACAATCTTACAGTACTAAAAACAGTGCTTAACAGTATACTGTTGAAAAGAATCAGAGAAACAAGCCTCCAAAATTCATGTCTGTCGGACCAAATCTAGGAAACTGCCTGCCAAAAAGAAGCAAAAAGAAAGAGAAGAAAGTACCTTCTTGTCAACGAAATCAGCCCAGAACCTAGCAATAGCTCTTTGGTAAGGATCAGAAGGGAGCAAAGGAGCCTGATCATGCCAAACTTCATCAATGTACTGAACCTGGATGAGTGACTCACAAACAGGCTTGCCATTATGGATAAGAACAGGGATTTTCTTGTGGACAGGATTCATCTGAAGAAGCAAAGCACTCTTGTTCCTCAAATCCTCTTCCCTGTACTCATGTTTTATCCCTTTCTCAGCCAAAGCAATCCTCACTCTCATCCCGAATGGACTAGGCCAGAAATCCAACAAAACCAACTCGTCTGCCATTCTGAAACAAAGATTGAACTCAACTGAAACTAAAAACAGCCCTGGTTTGGTTTTTGTTTTGAGATGTCTGAAACTGAAGGGTTTATAGACGAAAAGATTTGAGAGTTGCTAGGTCTTTCTGTCTTTCTTTATACTAAAGGCGCATATGCCAATGCCACCGCTTACGTCACTGGGTCTAGTCCTTTCTTCCTCTATCAATTGTCTCTGACAGAAAAGTCAACAGACGAGGCTGCTGCAACGCAATTGCGTGCGTCATCTAGCATAGACACTTGCGCCCATCTCATACGTTTTCCAGGTACAAGAATCGTGCTTTGTTTTGTTTTGTTTTGTTTTCTTCCTGAATAATTAATATTAGAGTGGTGCTCCGTTTCGCGTGAGTGTTGAATTTTTTGTTAAAAATATTTTAAAATTACATAATATTATAAATAAAAATAATAATAATTAAAGAAAAATAGTTTTAAATTTAAAAATATTATTAATAATACTTATAATGATAAATTAAAGATAATTATTTATATATTTTTTTTTAATATTCTATCATCTCTTATTAAGTAAAATTTTTTATTTAAATAATTTTTTTGAAAACATTTAATTTTTTATATTTAATATGACTAATGTTGATATAATCATATTTTGTTAATTATATGATTCTAACAGTGAAATCAAATTCATATTGAGAAAATATAATATTTTAAAAGTAATAATTGATGAGTTCCATAATTCATACAATAAAATTATTAAAACAAAATGAATATTTTTTGAAAGTCAAAATAAAATGAATATTAGTTATATTTATTAAAAAATTTTTAGTTTCAATAATGAAATTTTCTAAATGATCTTTCATTTTAATTAATATTTTTGTATCTTATGTCTTTATAATTATTTAGAATTAATCTACTTTGTGCTTCTTATCATGTCTCATTAAAAATTAAAAATTCTGTTCATTTCAAACTTGGATGAAATTCATAAATATCAACCTAAATATTTTATTTTTATATTTTATTTTATAAAAATATATATTTCTCAATACATGAAAGTACAGTTAGCTTTAAGTTTCGATGGACCAAAACACCATCACTCATGGGAGGAAAAACCCCTTCTAAAGCTAAATAAAAAAAAATTTCCTGTTGATAACTCTAAATGCAATCAGCTCCAAAAAAAAAAATCTCAAAATTTTTTTGAAATCAATTATTCTAAATTAGCCACATGTCAATAAAAGAAGCCACACCCCTTGGGTTTAACTTTTATATTATGTTATAGACAACTTTTACTTTCTTATTGGATTCCTCCCACGCAGGCGAGAGAATCCCGCGGAATAAACAACAAGATAACTACAAAGAACCAAATCATGTCGGACCACACAAGAGAACATAAGCTTGGCGCTGTTGTCGGTTCAAACTTTGCGTCTTGCAAGGCTCTCAACTGTGTTGTTAAATAAAAGAAATAAATATGCATATATGCATGTAAGTATGTATGCATATTTTATTTTATTTTTTATTTTTATTTGATTTTTATGAAAGCTTAAAAAAAAGTTTCAACTTATTATAATTCCAATTTTTTGTACATTAATGTTTTGCAATTTTTAATATTAAAAGATACAAAATTTAAAATTGAAATACAAAAGTGTTAAGTGTTAAAAAATGGAAAAAATATATAATTTAGGAGCATTAAAAAGGAAAAATAAACAAGAAAAATTAGACAAAAGGAGTAGTATTATGAAATATAAATTGAAAAAACAACTATGAGAAAAAAAGTATTAATAAAATAAGATAGATTTTATTCAATTATGTATTTACAAATAAAATAAGATATCTATTTATAGGTTAATAACTTTTTAAATTTTAATCTCAATTCCATTTAATTTATAGTCAAATTTAGATATACATAATTAAATCTAAAAGTGTGTTTAAGTTGTTTCACTATTTGACTTGGCCTGAATTTCTTAAGTCATAACATAATGGACATTCACATATATTCATAGTACTCCACCTTGAATGTTTATTGTATTAAGAATATCTCACGTTAAAACCTTATTAAGAAAAAACTTCATAAGAAAAAATTCAAGTGAAAGAAAAAGAATACATAATTCTTTTCAAGAATACACATTTGAGATACTATCTCATTAAAAACTTTACTAAAAAAACACAATAGGAAAAACCTTAATGAAGGAAAAGAGTATAGTACATATTTTATTTCAGTTATAATTGCATTATTTAAGATATTTAAAACGACGCATTTCAATATTTTATACCAACTTTTCAAATGTTATAGTACGAAAGGCTTTAGTGAATAAATCTACTAAATTATCATTCGAACGAATTTGTTGAATACTAATATCAATTTTTTCTTGGAAAACATGAATGAAGATGAATTTAGGCTAGATATGTTTTGTTTTATCGCCTTTACTGTATCATTCCTTTAACCGAGTTAAGCAAGCGATATTATCCTCATATAATGTTGTTAGTGAACTCAATGGATGTCCTTTATCTATATAAATCTATTTTAACACTTTTACTATATAATTCGATTAATGGACAAAAATTTCATTTATCAAGTGTTCAATTTGAAAACCCAAATGAAACTTTGTTTTTCCTAGATCTTTCATCTCAAATTCTTTCTTTAAGTAACCTACGACGTTTATTAACCCCTCAAGAGTTCCAATAATATTCGGGTTATCAATACAAATTCATATTCAAATCTTTTTATAAAACATATAGGCATATAGGATCATTTTTATAGCCTTTTTTTTAACAAATATTCACTAAGATGATTATACCACATGCATTTAGATTGCTTTAATTCATATACAAATTTATTTAATTTGATTAAATAAATTTATAAAAAATTATGTACGTACTTCAAGCAACTTAAATTTTTCAATAATTTTCATATAGATATCGATATCAAATAAGTCATATAAATAAGTTGTAGCTATATTCATCAGACGCATTCAATCCTTTCATAAATTGCCAAACTAACTAAAGATAAAAATATAATTGCATCCATCACAATAGAATATATCTCTTCATAATCAATACCAGGTATTTCAGTAAAACCTTATGCGACAAGCCGTACTTTATATCTCACAATTTTATTTTTTTTCATTTCGTTTTCACACAAATACCCATTTATTTTTCATTGATTTTACACCATTTAATGTACGGACTACAAGTCCAAAACCTTCATATTTTGCAAGTGCATTCAATTCCATTTTAATTACATCTTTCCAAATTAGCTAAACATTTCTATGTCTACATTATTCAATAAATGTAAGTTTAAGATCCTCATTTTCTTTCATAATAGTGAGCGTTACATTATATGCAATAATATCATTGACTTTTATTTTATTCTGGTTCCATCTTTTCTAGTTATGTCATAATTTATTAAGATCTTTTCATTTTCAATGATTTCAAGTACTTGAATTTCTTCAAGAATTTTATCAATTATATCAAGGGTCTTTAATAAAGTTTTTATTTTCTCCCTTTGACCATATTCTCTTCTTTTTTTTTTGGAGGATTTTATCTTTGAAACCGATTGGTTTCTTACACTTCTAGCATGCCTTATCCTACAGAGACATCAATTCTAATAAGAGCATTTGTAGCTGTCATATGAGATTTAGTTATTTTCTTTAGATTAGTAAATATGTCTGGCAATTGATTTGATATATTTTGCAAAGAATTATCTTTTGAACTTCAAGTTCACATTAATTTATACGATGATCAAAACTAAATAATAATAATGCATTCAAAGAAATTTCTTTTTTCAGTTATTTATTTTCTCTCCCTAATGTTGAAAAATCTGTTTCATCAAAATAACAATCGGCAAAACTTGCCGTGAATAAATCTCCTATTAATGGTTCTATATATTTAATTATTAATGGAGATTTCTATCCAACATATACTCTTAACCTTTTTTGAGAACCCATTTTTGTGTGTTGCGATGGAGCAATTAAACATATACCAGACATTTAAAAATTCTTAAATGAAAAAATTTGGTTATGGACCATAAACTAATTGTATAGGAGAGAATTTAGGATAACTCATTGATATGATACATACAAGTGTTGCTACATGCAAAATGACATGTCCCCAAGCAAAAATTAAGAGTTTAGTTTTTATAAGTAATGGCCTTACAATTAGTTAGAAGTGTTTAATAAACGATTCTGATGAACCATTTTGTGTATGAACATGAGCAATAGGTTATTCAATAGTTATTTCAACTAATATGCAATATTCATTAAAGGCTTGAGATGTAAATTCTCCAATATTGTCAAAATGAATAATCTTAATTGCATAATTAGGAAAATGTACTCACAAACAAATGACTTAGAGGAGTAATATTATACATATCAAATTGCAGGTTAATAATAACTACGAATGTAAACATCTAGTCAATACATCAATTAAAATCATAAAATATCTAAATAGTCCACATGGTGGATGTATGGATCCACATATACTTTGTGCGCACATCTTGAAAATATTGCTTCATATCAAAAAGGAAGTTCTCCAACTCCTTAGCATCTCTGACCCTTTACTATCGCTTGGGTACCAACACATTGGCCTTTTTCTCTCGATGTCTTGAACTTCCACTAACATTACTTGCAGAAATAACCAAAAGATTTACCTGAGCTTTCAATTCTCCAATTTTGCCTTGTAGAATGCTCAATGCATCCATGGTCTCATCACTCAACGTATTAATCATTTCAAATAGTTCTCGCTAGACTGTCTCAATTTCATATATTCTTCGCATGGAAATATTTGAGCTTTTACTGTAGCCATCGCGACCTCTAGCTCATCAATCCTCTGATGGTCCTCAATGCACTCAACATAGTCACCATTTTTTACACTTTAGATCAACACTTTTCACCTGTTTTCTAATACTAACTGTCACAAACTACATTGTTTCGCCCAAGTATGCAATAGTCCGTGTGGCACTTGAATAGAAGCTTTCATACAAGTTAGCTAATACTCAATTATATATGATCAAACATTAATAATAGCAACAAATCATACTAAGAGAATCCATATAAATTCAAAAGGTAGATCGAATGCCATATATTTAACCACTAAGCTATAAAAAGAAAAAATATTTTATTAATATGAAATTAATTATAA